TGTAACAAAGAAGAATATTCACAAAATATCATAAAGCCAAATAGAAGAAACGTTATAAAGTTGAACTGAGCAAAACAATAAAGCAATTTGAAATGTAACGAAAGTAATCAATTACAGTACATCTAACTAAACGGAAATGTTTTTGAATTAACATGATTGTAAAAATACCGATATAATTAATAGCACTAAACAAGGTTTGTTGAACGTTAGAAGAAATATCGGCGGTTTAGTGGCAGAATCAAAGAAAAAAGATTAGGATTAGGGTTAACACATAAACGGGCTTCTGTTAGTCGAACTTCTTCAAAACGCGTGCGTTGTTTTTCTGACGTACATATAAAGTTGGTTGTACACAAGACGGATTTTTTGTTCGGAGATTTAGTTAATTTTATAAGCTTGATAATCCTATTTGTAGCGTATGTATGCAATAATAAACAAATCAATATTCAATATTACTTAATATAAAAATTCATTTGTCGAATTTTTTACCCACTACAAAATACTTCAGGTTAATGAGGGAAAATTGTTGCTGTTGTCACACTCTCGCCGGGAATCGAACCCGGGACCTTTGGCTTTACGCACCAATGCTCTGACCACTAAGCTACGAGAGATAACAACAGTATCAACGACAAACCGTACTAGGTCACAGATCTGTCGAACTAATGTAATTATATATACTACTAGCTGACCCGGCCACGCGTTGTTGTGGCTAACGTTTTTGTCATATTACATTGTTGTAAACTATTTAAGGAGGACGGTAGGAGAACATCAGACATGGGCACCACCATGCTTTTTACCATAGATGCCATTTGTAAAAAAACATGCCGACCTTCATGACTGATTTTCTACTACCGTTACCTCCTATTACAATGAAATTATTATTTACGAACGAAGACGGAAACGTTAAAGCTGGTATAAAAATTTACTGGTTTGGGATTTGAAGGGGAAGGACTTTGAACCCAATTGATCAAAATTTTCGTACAGTTGATGTAAAGCAAAAAACAATACAGAAGANTTTCGAATTTCTAAATTAACCGTTCGCGAGCATAGAAGTGACTTCTTTTTATTAAAGGCGACACGACCCTGCGCTATCCTCTGCTTTATATCCCTACTACTCTTTCCATCCTGACTTATCTGACTTCCTAGATATCTAAACTCAGCCACTTCTTCTAATTTTTCGTGTCCTATCTTTATATTCGCTCTTTCCCTACTTTTTCTTCCCTTGCATACCAATACTTTAGTTTTACTTTTATTTATTTTCATACAGTACTGATCTGTCAATACCGCTTCCATTTCATTTAATGCTATCTCTAGGTCCTCCTAGTTAGATGCTAATACTGCTATATCACCAAAACTTATAAATATAAAGAATTTTGTAAATTTCACTGCAAAACTGCAATGATACCTCTATAGTTTTCATTTAGATTCAAACGTAAACAAAACACAAGATTTAATTTTAGTCCCCATTTAGATATGTTCGAAAATTCCTTTTGATATGGTATATTGAAGGAGTTCTGTATGTATACGAAACACTTTCACATTTTTAGAAGTGGTTAGTTTTAATATGAAATATTAATATGAAAATTCATTTGTCGAACTTTTTACCCATTACAAACTACCTCAGGTTGATGAGGGAAAATTGTTGCTGTTGTCACACTCTGGTTCGATAGTTCGATTCCCGGTGAAATCATCAAATCAATATTCCTTCTAAATAATCAGTTCCGCGTTTTTACCGTTATGTATATTATAACTATTATTAAAACAAACAGTATGATAGTTATAGGTATAGAACTAAAGTGTTATCCCACAGATTAATTCGTACTTAGTCTATATTTGTTAATTACCTTCCCGTTGATTAATTTCTTCGTTCGTTTTCTGCGAGTTTTTATGAATATCTTTCAAATGTTTTGAATAAAATTTAACAACAAGGTATCCATAAGTTTTATTAAATAATGGTATCAGCTTTTACGAGATCATAAATTCTGTTTAAAGTGGCAATTAGGCGTTAAAATGGAAAACCAAACCTGAGTTTTTAACGCCTAAAAACGCACTTAGCCATAAATAATGCAGTCATCGAGTTGTATAGAACACCCCACATCCACCATAGAACCGGAAACATAAAAAGAAAGGGCGAAACTTTAATAACTGGTCCCTGAGGGTGATGAAGCCGCGAGCTGTTACATCCCGCCACTTAGACCTAACAAAGTGCCTGTCGTCGTTGGTCTATCCCATCCCTTTGAAAAGCAGGGCATAAGGCGGTAAGGTGTTCCTTTGAAAGCCTTTTGATGTTTGAAAACGTTCGGAAATGGTGCCATTTGCACATTTACAATATTGCTAAAAGTCGTAAGGTACAACTGACTCTTTTACAATCCGAATTTAATTGTGAAGTAGTTGTAGTTATCTAATAAGTGTTTCCGGTAGAATTCTACATGTGATACTTAAATGTGGCAGCTTCCACAGTTGAGCTGCAAGTTGAGATAAATATACGAGGATAACTAAAGGTCTTGACCAATCTTCACCACCAAGACCAAAAACTCAAAAAAGTTTCAATGCTCGTGTCCCAAAACTCTTACATAAGAACTTCTTACTTGAGAAGTTGTATAAAGACAACTGATGTGAAGCAAAATTAAATAGGTAGAAATTTTCTTGACAAAATTAATCGCTTACTTGATAGTGTTCCATTGAAAACATCACGTCAGTCATGGCTTATGTATAACCGTTTGGTGTCATACATTACATTGGCGATGTTTCGCCCAGACGTTTGATTAACCCTTTATAATGAACAAGTATACATATAAGCAAGGAGTAATAAATATCTACCCATCGCCACAATTGGCGAAACGGTGGTGTTTAAAATTGACAAATTACTCAAAAAAAAAGGTCCCGTACAACATACTTGGACCAGCTGTTAGCATATATATGTCCGACAGCTGATTAATATGTTCTATAAGAAATTTAGTTCTAAAACCATTTTAATTTCATCATTATCATAAGGTCGTTAGTCCTAAAACTGGTTGGACATGCACCTCCACTCTTTCCTATCCTGAGCTAATTCTTAACTATTTGCGAACAGTAATCTAATTTAGGTCTACATTCACTCCTCTTAACTCCTGTTTTCGTCTCTGATATGTCTCTGGGTAGACCTTCATGCCTAGGAAGGTGTCCTTCAAACCTGTCTCACCTATTTTTTATTGTCTTCCATAGAGTCTTCTGTTCTCCTATTCTTTCTAATATCTCTTCATTTCTAATCTTCCCTATTACTATGGAGACAGTATTTTGTTTAGATAGGGGGGGTTGGTGCGATTTTCCATTTTTTTCGAGAAAAAGTGTCTCCAGTCTAACCTCGGTCAAAAATTTCATAAAATTTTCTTACGATTAAATTAAGTATCTACTTAAAATTAATTCGATCATTTTTTCTATAATTTTGTGATTTATTATTGAAATTTTGAAGCCAGTAATCCGAGCATTTATGTTATGCAGTATGCAACAGTGGCAATTAAATGTCTTTTTCAGGAATTTCCAATAATCATCGAATATTTATTTACATTTACTTGTGGTTTAGTAAAAGTCTTCGACCTTCGACTCCGATCTACCGTCAGACCTATGATCTATCGCTCCATGATTTCATTTGTTATGAAGTATACGTTATATGTACCACCCAAGTAGTACTTTCGATACTAAAATTTTGGGTATATGTGGGTAATTATTATCTTAATATTTTACGAAAGTTTTACAAGCATATCCATTTCGATAGGAACCTAAAATTCAGAAACTTCGATAAACCTGCTGACCAAGAATTTAATATCCAAGGTCCTTGTTAAACACTGCGCAATAGTATCGTTAATGGTAAATAACGATATACTGTCAGTTAATTTATATTAATCATTTAATAATGAATAAGAAGTTCTTGATCAATAATTCATCGAAACTACCAGGCGTGGACCACGATTTACGATTAATTATCGACCAAACCAAAGCTGTTCCGCAAAAGTGAGTGGGAACTATATAGAATGTTTCTGAAATAAGTGGCAAGCAATGGAAGATGTTAAAACTGGATGCATCAAGGAATCGCATGGTGAGTAAATCAACAATAAATACCAAATTAGTAAATCAGCAGCTTATCTAATATAAGTAATAATGTTTAGACGTCTATTGCCATAAATTTTAATTAAATTTTGTTCTTCGCTGATAGTATGCAGTCCTATTTAAAGTACACCCAGACATGGTATTAAGAAGACAAAAGAAAAGATTAAAGTTACGTAATTATTAAGTCATTAATAGATAAATTAATAGTCTATGGATAGATAATTATAATTTTATTAATTATTATTATTTATCTTTCGCAATGCTTTCCGATTCTCAACTAATCGTTGGATTTCTAGTGGAGTCAGTTGCAATTGGCAATGTTTAATTGGAATTACTTAATACAGCATTGACGAATTACAGACCAAGAAGCTTTTTAAACCAATATATAAGCTCTTGTCAAAACTAACATTTGGATTACTAACCTTTCTTAACTTAATTATTCATTCAAGACACTGTATCATTTTAATAAGACTTTAGTGAAAGTAAGTATAGAAACGTTTCAACTTAAAAGGTATTCACTACTAAGGAGAAACCGAAATAAAAGTCTTTTGCTAATGGGTATGGGATGAATCACTAAGATCAAAGTTCCCTTTGAGCATAATAAATGAAGCATTTTCAAACAGAAACCAACTGAACACTTTTGTACCTATAGGTGCAGCAAATACCAACAAATTTGCTTGCACTTTGGAGTAATTTGTTGTTCCGTGTCAGTAAATGAATTTCAGTCCATTTTTAGATTTTCATTCATGTCTTGTTATTTTTGTGCAACATGTTTATGACAGTATTTGTTCGTTTTCATGAAGGTTTTCGAAATGTAAATGTCTGTTTCACTTACATTGGAAATGAAATACTTTGGTCATTTCCTCTTCTTGTAAGGGGGGCTTAAAATAACTATTTTTAGACTGATTAATGCTTACCTATTCCAGTTGAAAATTTATTTAGAGGCTCACTAAATTGTTGGAGGTTGTCAGACACAAATTTCGACGATTGACAATTCTGAAAATGAGAAATAAGAAACTTATTTTAGTTTAATCAAGCAATTTAGCAAAATAAAATTTAAAAAACGTTTTAATATAATGAATAACCAAATAATCAATAGTTGATTTACAGTAACCTGTGAACCTATGCAGTTAAATTTTAATTTTCAATAGTGTATATGGCAAAAAGGAAAGTTCAATATTCAATTATAAAAGCACTAGAAGACACTGTACTCATTTCTATTTCGAGCCATTACGCAGATTAAAAGAAAAATGCGCAATGCCATCTGGTGTAGGCACGAATTAAATGCAACCGTATGTAAGAAAGTGTCTGGAATACATTTACGATGATTTTTCTAGCGTAAGAGCAATATTTATGAACATTCAGCAAACGTAATCCACAGATCTACCTACACTAAATATAATCTGGTTCGTATGTAACGAAATTTCAAAGCATACGACTTTTATGAGGTATCCATATGACCGGTTCCGGTTTTTAGTGGAACCATTTTCTGTAAATAATGATGTTTAATTTGTGTTTCTTTGTAAATTGAAGCATTTTAAAGTCCAAAGAGGTCAGAACTACTGAAATTGTAAATTGTTGTTTCAAATATCTTTTGTGTAAGAATTGTAGGGTTATGTTCTTTAAAACTTTTGGGTTATGGGGCCATAGGGTTCAAAACGCTTGATTTGAGGTAATGGGCTTTTGTTGGTTGGGTTGTTTGGTGGGGATAATGTTCTTACTATAGTAGCCATGCGTATCTGGTACATTAAATAAAGTCTACCTGTTTAATAATGAGGAAAAACTTCTACTAAAAATAAGACCCAACCAAACTTAAAGATTAAGACCGAATATCCCTTCTTTTTTATAAAATGTTTCTCAGGCACACCAACCTTGGCCCGTATCATAAAACTATAAAACTTTACCGTTAAGGTGGGACCCTCAGCTTTCGCTGGTTTTTGCCGATACGGAGCAAAACGGTTGCTTTTTGTAGAAATTTTATATCATACCGCTAGATTAGATTCTTTAGATTAATTTTTTTTATAGCAGCAACAGGAGTTAAGTGAAGTAGAAGTAGACCTTGATTAGATTACAAATCACAAATAGTTAAGGATGTGAGGTGTTCCAGTTTTAGAGAAATGCGAAGATTAGCCAGGGTAGAAAAGAGTGGAGGTGCGTGTGCAACTAGTCTTAGGACTGACGACCTAATGGTGATGATAGCCACAGAGGCCAATCCTCCGTTTACGTACCACACTTTCAGAAGGAAAGTATCCTTTTCATTTTCCACAACTGAACAGTAAAGAAAACGGTGCCTTCGATAAGATAACGCTGGAGGTAGCTCCTAAGGATTCCCAGTAGAGCATTCTTCTTGTGGCGGTTGAGAATTTATTCTTTCCACTCTTTATAGTTTATAGGAAAGATGAAGGTAACTATCTTTCTACATTTTGGTTGTCTTTTATAGCCCTTGCATAGCTCTGAGACGGTTCATCTTAATTTCTTGTTTAATGAGGTTGCCGCAGATGCCAACATCATGAAGGAATTTCCCTAAGTCATTTTCTTTTATGTCACTATGTCCAGGGTATCTTGAAGGCTTAGGGATTTTGGCCAAGCTGCCCAGGCTGACCGAGTGGAGTTGTTTGTTCCACCTGAAGAAAGAGTGGAAAACCTACCCCCAAAGGTAAGTAATACCTCTTAAAGAGATGAATGTTGATTTTGAAATTCTTATCAAAGAGGAAGAGGGTCATGATTCTTGCCGCAGTCAGGGGACATCTCAAGAATGCCTCCCATAATTATATTTTGGGGGAGTCCAGGAGACCTCATCTTAGAAAGGGTATGTTTTTCCGCATACTTTGTGTATTTATTTGAGAGGATTTGTAAACACAAAATTTCGGTGTGTTGTCATTTAATGACATGATAACCTTAAGTACAACGTTCTTGTTTCGTATCAAGTTATATTTGAAATATTAATGTCTAAAATGGGAAACTTCGAAGGACGATACAACCGAGCGGCATGGCCTAGAGGTCTAGACCATTGCTTAGCATTCGGACGCCGGTTTGATTCCGGGTCCGTCTGCCTTGGTCCAAGTTTTTCTGTGGTTTCCTTGGATCACTTAGGCAAATGCTGAGGCAGTAATATTCCACAGATAATCTTTCATTCTCTTCTGTCTTCATTTCGTCCGTCTCATCTTTCTCACCCGAA